CCCATTTTCAATACCATCCGTCCTATGCCCAAAAGAAGTCCACGTACAAAGTTTCGTTAAGATATCTCAATTTTTACTCGAGTTATCGTGTGCACAGACGGACGGACGGACGGACAGACAGTCACCGCTTAATCGATTTCTCTTTTCATTCTGATCATTTATGTATACATTTGTCTATATCTATCTCGATTCGTTTTGCCTGTTACAAACAACCGTTATGTGAACAAAGTTATAATACCCTTGTGCACAAGTGCGCTCGGGTATAAAAATTCACTACCTGCTACAACTCTAAAATGAACGAAATCATGTGCTCTATTTCCGTAAATATTTCTAAAGCATACTAAATATTAGTGGAAAATAAACAAAAGGTAGGTCGAAAGCTGCTGCAATATTGTATCTATATACATACATACTTCAGGCATAAAGGCTCACAAGTAAATTTTTTCGTCTTTCCAAGGTGGTAGTAAAACCAACGCTTAGCTGTTATTTGATTATTGCTGCAAAATTTTTGCTCATTCTGCGCTCCTGTTCAGTAAATAATAAACTCCTGCGTAGAGTACTCTATTGGTAGTACTTGAGTATTTTCGAAGAAAACATACATTTGTGGTATCTGAATAAAACTAAGGACAGGAATGTAGTGGAGCGATGAAGAGAGCGACGAGCAAAACGTACTTTCAACTAAAATGCTGATATACATACCTAAGTACATATGTATGTATGTGCACATGAACCAGCGACTACAGATCACCTAATCAGCCATCGTTGTATTTGTAATCGATTTTCAGAAAAAAGTTTTCTTAGCGTTTTTGACGTTTTTCAGTTGTGTTTACACCGTCTTCTACCTCTTCGTGATTTTTTAGCGACTGAATGTGTTTTTTGCAGCGATTTTAATTATAAATTTTGGTTTATTACATATTTATGATATAAAATGAAGTGCTGTGTGATTGGAACAAGTTTGTGCGTATGTTTGGTTTGTCAAAAGGCGTAAATTTGCGTGAAAAGTGGTTACACGTTTGTGGACAGAACATTGGCATTGAAAAATCGACCCGTGGTAATGATATGCGATTGTAAAACACTTTCAATCATGAAAACTATATTTTATGAACTTTTTTTGCTAATTGTCATCAAGTTTCACTTTGTATATTTTATAATAAATACCAATCTAATCGCACTCAATCACCGCGCCTTTTTCGTTTTCTTTGTTTGTTTTCATTCTTAGGCAGATGGCAAAAACGCTCAGAAATATACTTTTTTCTAGCTGCTTTGATTAGGTGATCTTGTATTTTTGGTTCATGGTATGTGCATAGATACGTATATAAGTGTCCGCATATATTTTTTCCCGTCACTTGCTCTGTCGCTTCACTGCAGCATAACCAAGTTGTTGGGAAAACCCTGACGATATGCGTACAATTGAAACCATGGGTTTGAAGATAGCGCAAATTTCAATTTCATCTTAAATATATTTATGTATGCATGTACAAATGTACATATGTAAAAATGTAGTGAAAATAATGAAACGCTTATATGTAGCGTGCAACTAGAATTGATTTCTTTATTCGAAATTACTTTCTTTTATACAAGATTTCTTACCCTAATTTACACTCATACTTACAAACTACAAATGTGCATATGTTATGCTAACTCAGCGTATGTGTCATAGTTATTTTGGCAGTCGCACTGCCAAACTGACGCTGACGATCTG